GGGTGGGGTGGGGTGAGGGGCCTGGCGCTCACATCAGAGGCCTGTACCTTGGGCGGAAGGCAGCAACAGCGATGCCTGGCGAGCAGGCGGCATCGCCATTGCTGTCGTCGCGCAACACGCGAGACGTGCGGACCACAGAACAGCTCAAAAGCCCGACCTCTTGCATCTGGTGAGTAAACACGACCATTGCCCCCTTCCCAACGGCAGTCAGCAGGCCCCCGCCTGTCCTAGGCTCTCGCCAACAGCACAAAAGCGCACGTTGCGCGCACTGCAGGGCCACACGCGCATCGTGACGGCTCCAGCGCCGACAATTCAGCAGTCAACTCGGCCTCACGCAACCTCGGCCAACCCCTCGTTTCTAAACGCCCCGTCTGGCACTGACTCGACATGAAATTACTTCAAGAAAACTGGAAATGCTCCCTCAGACCAACTTACTCGCCTTAGTCAGGTCTTTGCCCGTGGGGACGCGGCCGCTGAAGTGGAGGTAGCCGAGGCCGTAGAGCCCCGACGGCGACACCTTCTTGCCCACGGACTCTGTGAACCACTTGAGGGCCTTCTTATAGTCCGCCTCACCGGTGATGAGGCCGGACGCGTGCATGTGGCCTGGTGGTGGTGGGGGGGGGGACCGGGGAGAGAGGGGGGGAAGGTGTGGTGGCAGCGTAGGGTGGAGCGGGGTTGGGCGAAAGACAAGGTTGTGCTTGCATGTGCAGGACGGAGCGCATGAGTCTACGCGTGTGTGAGAGCACGTGTGCTTCAAGCAAAGCTCTGTGCGGCATGGGTTAGGTGGAATTTTATATGACCGAATTGCGCCCAAGGGTGACTGCCAGCCGTGTCTTCAGCTGCACAACCCCCGTCACATTCCCCCCTGCAGCCCACCCAGGTGCGCCATGGCGTCCGCGTCTCCCGCGTCCGCTGCCCGCCGCAGGTAGTGCTGCGCCCCCTTGGGGTCGCGCGGCACGCCGTAGGACCCCGCGTTCAGCACCTGTGCACGGCGTTGCGGAATTGCCAAGTTGCGGCAGGAGGTGAGCAGGACAACCCAGGAAAAACGGCAGGCTCAGACGTTGTCCACACGGCAGCTACGGGCTGCAGGGTGCATATGCAACATGGCCCACACTAGACGAGCGAGGCTGCACCGCTGATGATGCGACCCACTGCATCCCCAAGCAGAGGAGAAAAGGCGCCTGGCCGGCAGAGGCGGCGTGACCGTTTAATGCTACCGTTTGATTTCGACCCGTGGGCGGCCCCGGGAAAGCGCCCGGCCTGCCGACCTTTCCGATGGCGGCCTGCGCGTTGACGTTGCCCTGGTCTGCGCTGTTCTGGAAGTACTGCAGCACGTCGCGGTGGCGGTCCAGCTTCATGCCCGCGTTGGCGTGCAGGTTGAGGCGGATGCGCTCCATCTGGACAAAAAGAGGAAGGGCGGGAACAGTGTGGGTGTGTGAGTGTATGAGTGCCCGCGCGTGAGTGTAGACACACACACACACACACACATACACACACACACACACGTGTGTGTGTGTGTGTGTGTGTGCGCGCGCGTGTGAGCGTGTTTGCGTGTGCATGCACAGCTGTGTGCGAGCCCTGTTGGGAAGATGTGATACGGAAAGGGCTGCGCAAGATGAAAGCAGGGGCGGCGGCAGCCGCGGCAGGGGGCCACAGAGGCGCTCACGGACGAGAGCCGAAGCTTCACAACATAACACAGCTTGTCGCCGCGGAGGGCGCTTTTCTCGCGAAACGCAGGGTGAACGGCGGATTCTGGGGCGCGGCCCCACCTGCGGCACGCCGCCGTCGGCTACCATAGAGGTGACGACGCCCTCCGCTGCCGGCTGGTAGTACGCCGCCGCCGACCAGCACGACTTGGGGACCCCCGCGCCGTGGGTGTGGCGGTATGCGAGGGCAAGACGCGAGAGCGTGTCGCCGCCGGCGGCGCCAAAGTAGTAGTGCAGCAGGGCGCGCGGCTCGTCGGGCTGCGGTGGCCGGCGGGTGGAACGGATGAGGGGTAGGTTTGAGGTGCGGGTTTAAAGAGATTGCTCAGGCAAGCGGCTGTTGATACGGTTGTTTGGAAACTGCCTCGCATCGCTGGTGATCTGTGATGATGCTGTAAAAATCGCCTGCTGTTGCTTGCCGCAAAGGCAGGCCCTCCGCCCACTGCCGGGCGAACACCGCCGCCCTGCGAATAAAGCCGCAGCCGCTGCGCCACTGGCAGCCACTCGTTTCTCGAGATAGGACACTCGCCTCATCAAACCGCAGGATCGACGACCCCTGCAGATTCTCGGGCCGCGCCAGCCCCACCGAGTGCCGCAGGCCCATCTGGCCATGCGCCTCCGGGTCCCCCAGATCAGCGGCCTTTTTGAAAAGCTCCAGCGACAGCCGGTGGTCTGGCTCAACGCCGCGGCCCATCTGTCGTGGGGTTCGCCCGTGCGGGCGGCATGGCAATTCGGTCGTGTGGGCGGGTGGGCCTTGGGGCATGAGTGGTGGGGCAGTGGCGCATGGTAGCGAACATGCATGCTGCAGGGGCGACGGGATTCAAGGCCGAAGGGCCATCAAGGCCATGAGGGCTATGGTGCAGGGGCAGCGGCGAGGGTGGACAACACAGGGCGGGCGCCGCCATGCCACGCCCGCCCGCGCAGCAGAGGGGCAGACAGTGCGAGGCGGCGCGGACGCGCACTGCTGCGAACGCGCAGGCTCGCCGCTACGCCGCAAGCCCCTGTGTCTTGCGCGCCTGCCGCTCGCCCTTTGAGCCGGACATGCATCAAGGGCAAAGTGCAGGGCATGGCCGCCCGCCCTCTTCTGACAGGGACCGCTCGAGCAGCCAATGCTGGGGCACAAGGGGGCCAGCTCAAGCAAGCTCGAGCCCACCTGCAGAGACTTGGCGACCTCTCTCAGCGCCGCCGGGTTCAGAGGCCCTGCATACCACCATCCCGACGACTGCGGCACCCGCTCCGGCTCGGTCGCGCCCGCTTCTGCGGCCGCGCCGCCGCCATCGAGGCCCGCAGCGGCCCCGGGCGCCTGCTGCTGCCGCGCTGGAGCAGCCGTACTGAGGCCGGCGGTTGCGAACAAGGATTGGAACGCGCGGCGCCGCTCACGGCCGCTGGACGATTCCCTGTCTCTGTGGGGCAAAGGAGAATCGCCGCATCCGAAGAGGCAGAGGCTCAGGCAAGCATTGGCGGGCGAGGCGCCCATGCGAGCTGTCCCCGCCTGCGCAATCCACCTCGCAGCGTAGTTGTCGCGCCGGCACGATTTGAAGGCCCGCTACTGAACGCCACGGCTGCACTCTCACCTGATCGCGACCGCCTTGGCAACGACCAGATCTACACTGCTCCCGCTGCTGGCTTTGCTGCTGGCCGCGGCGGCCAGTGAGCGAGAAGCACACTGCGCCACCAGCAGCACCAGCACCAGCACGCGCGCACCACTGCTCTTGGCCTGCAAGGCAGTACACAGGGCGTCAGATGTAAAGCTCCAAGCCATACAAAACCTTCGGATGCCGGTTAGCACGAAGCTCATCTGTCGCACCATCAGAGGCACTGCGAACAAGATCACAGGAAGTGCATGTCTTCAAATGTGAGTGCAACAAGACATCATTCGCTCATTGATCATAAGTGAATGGTCTTCGAGTGCGCCTGCGGGCTTGCTTCGGATCAAAATGAACCAGACATGGAGTGATGTGACCAGGACTGGTTTGCGATGGCGAGGCTGACCAGACTCGGACTCTTTATGCATGAACATGACATAGTGATTGTGATAGAATTATGACTGTCACTGTTGCCGCGTACTGCAGCTGCATGGGCGGCGCGGGTCATTCCGGTCCCTACTTGCAGCCCGGTGGCTCAGTTGCGGTTGACAGGTGCATGCGTGACGCCAAGAGGGTGATGGCCGCATGCAAGCCATAGATTACAAGAGAGTTGTGTTTGTTTGAGATTCCTCCAGTGCTGAGGTGCCAAGGCACAGGCGCTTGTGGCGATTGAGCAGCAGCCAGCAGGTGTCCTCACCCTTCACGGTGAGCTCAGGCTGCTATCCTGCTCAGCAGGTCCAAAGGGAGCCACGTGACTGCGGCAGTGCCCAAAACCCACAAGAAGCAGCCTTGAGCGTCACACGAGAGCCCTTTGACTATGCTCTTGCCCCGTCCCCTCTCACCAGCTGCCGCAAAATCCACGAGGCCACGCACCACTGTTGTGCTCGCCCCTGCCGCTGTCAAGACGCTCTCGTGTCATCGCCGCTGCGATGCCAGGAGTGCTGAGGTGGCGCCACATGTGGGGCTTGAGTTGTGCTCCCGTCATTGCCGGCCGAAGCGGCTCCTCGGTACAACCCACTGCCCGCTGGTCGCTTGAAACGAATCGGTGGGACAGCCAGCTCCTGGTTGTTGCCATTGCCCAGGCATCGGTTTACACGCTGAACTTGAGGCGCCCGCAATCCCAATTCTGACACTGTCACGGTCACAGCCAATCACACAGACACTAGATTTGGGGGATTTTCCTGCCTCGCACCTGCTTGACGTTATAGCTGGAGCCCCAGGGACTGCAACATAGTCCTACACAAATGAAGGGCTTTGCACATTTGGGGGGTCCCACGGCGCCACGGGTGTCCAGGAGTCTCAGAACACAGCAAGCCCTGGTCTAATGCAGAGGGGATGCTCTGATGGTATCTGATGGTTCCTGTAAAAGTGTAAATCAACGGATGTAGGGTCGCAGGCGCCAACAAACGCACATGGGCGTGCCGACGCGGTCTGCAGACCGTGGCCACCGTGGACACGTCACTGAGTCACCCGTCGGCGGCACAGCGTCCCTGCAGGTCAGTAAGATGGTGCACGCGGTTCTTACTACCCAAATAATTTCTTATCGAGTAAAAAAAGACCACACCGGGGACTCTACGGTAGCTCCTTTCCCGACACACCTCATCAGCGAGACCGCGCACCAACCGGTCACGCGTAATCAATGGGGTCATGGGTGAAAACAGCAATTTTGTTGGTAGCATTGCATGCTCTGGCGTGGCCGTCGCTCACCCACGCGCAGGTGAGAGCAATCGTTGGCAGAGGCACCCTTTGAGCGACGAACAAACACTCACACGCTCGCACGCCCCGATAGCACGCATGATATACACATATGATGTCCCAGACTGCTCTCTTCAGCGTGCTCGGCTCGGTGCCTGTGCTCAACGCCCTGACGTCACCCGCACCCTGTGACGCACTGCCGGCCACGTGCGTACCTACTGCAGAAGCAGCCTAAGCTCAAAGTGCGCCCTTCCCTCATCCTGACCAGCCTGTCCAAAGCCACCTCTCCAAAGACGGTGAGCGTGCACGGCTGATTGGCTGCACAGCAATGCACCGATGACGACAGCATCGCCCTCTCGCCCGCCTTCACGCCCTGCTGCCTACGCCGCGCCAGCTGACCTGGTGCCGCCCCATGCAAACCGAGCGTGAAAACAGACTGGCGCACATTATTGTAGCTTCCAGTGTTGATGCGCGGGCGGCTGTCGGTGGCAGCCCGTGTGTCTAGTACGAGCCTGGTGCTTCGTCTTGGTATGCAGTCAGCTGGCGCGCCAACCGCCACTGCCAGCGAGCCCGAATTCGTCCGCAAGGGGCGCCTCTGCAGCACAGCACGCCACTCTTTCCAAGCCGCCGCCCACCGCCCGCCGCTGCCCCGCAGGTCAACATCCTCAGCTCCCCAGGCGGCGTCACCATCAGGGGCGGCGGCGTCCCGCCCTACAACCTCACCTACCTGACGCCCCTCCCGCTCGCCAAGTCCACCGCGGGCCGCGTCAGGCGGTGGCTGAAGAAGGACAGGCAGGCCCATCCCAATGCGATCGAGCCCCAGGGCCTGTTCCCCTGGGGCTCTGGCTTCGTCTACCCCTTCACGACCAACATCACGACGGCGGGGGACGCCCTGCTGACGATCGACGCCGGCCTGAGCGTGCCGGTGAGTGATGCGGCGGGGGCCACCGGCTTTGACGGGGCGGGGGCCGGCCGGCGCGCGGCAACAGCCGGCGCGCCCTGCCATACCACTGTAGTTGCGATTCGGGCGGCCGCGGCGGTTTGTGTTGAGCCAGGCCTGACGACAGCAGGCAACCGAGAGCCAGCACAACGCTGAGCTCCAGGCTGTCAGCAGGGCGCTGCAGCTGCCAGCCCACACGGGCCGCCCTCTCCCAGATCTGCCCTTTTCTGAGCCGCCTTTATCCCGTCCCCTCTTTTCCCCCACAGGTCCGCTGGTGGTGGTACCGCATCATCCCTTGGGTGCTCAAGTTCCAGGTCACAGACAGCACAGGAAATGGCGCCACCGGATCAATCGCCGTCTTCATCAACCCCTTCTGATGGCGCCCTGACTTCACCCCATGGAAACCGCAAGTCTCGTGAGGGCCGCACATGTACGCCCGGTCCAGCCGGCAGCGGGCTCAAGGAACCTGCTCGAGAGCCCATCGGCACTGCACCGGCTGCAGGACTGTGCCGCAGAAACAGGCACAAACTCTGCATGGCTGGGAGTACGCGTTCAAGGTGCCTGGACCCAAAATTCATATTGGCACTGCACCCGTGTGCACTGCTGCGCTGGCACCTGCGTGCGTGCGTGGCGCCTTGACAGGCCGCAAATTCGCCGCCTCGCTTCCCTCCACGCCACAAATCCCTCAACTCGAGAGCGCGTGCTTGACAGCGGTGATCCCTCTGGCGCATTGCCGGCAGCCCTGCTGAGTGTTTGACTGCCCTGCTTGCGATCTGGAGTCAAGCTGCCGCCGTGCCGTTGCTCTTGATCTGCACGTTTCCTACCTTGCGAGCTCATCACCATCACCCCTGTTGCTCGGAAACAGCACGACCCGCACGCCTGATATGCACGACAATGCAGCCTTGCCCACGCCCGAGCGGGCGGCGGCGACCCCTCTGCAAATTGCGTGCAACCCTGCACGGGTGCTCTCGCCATCATGTCTACCGCGTATCCAGCACAATCCAACGTCACGCCCCTGGGCGGCGCCAGACGCAGCACTGGCGCCCGCATGCTTCAACTCATCATCCTGCTACCTATCAAATGCACAGTTGTGTTGTTCATTGCCTCAGACGCACTTATTTGGTTATTTTGCTGCAATGTACTGGCTTCCTTGGTGGTGCGCTGCACAGGATCTAAGCACTGTACCTGTTGACAACCGCCCCCAGAAAGCGACGGTTGCCCCTCGTACGGCGTGCTGGATCGTGCAACGAGGAAGTAACTTCAGGGTATTGTGAGCTGCGTTCTTCAGCGCCCTTTGCATTGCACATCCTGCTGCCCCCTTCAAGGGCCAGCTGAAGTGACGATCGCTTGTCCGGTGCTGACCCCGCCCAGCTGCTGGTGCCGCCCCATCTAAGCTTAGACCCGTACCACATACGTATCAAACGAGCCCTCAGCGAGTCGGATCTAGGTGTGCTGCTGTGCTGCGCTGTACATGCAGTACTTGCCACAATGCTTTGAGCGACGGCGGCGAGCGATGGTGACAGGTGCACTCACCCTGGTGGTGTTCATGCTCAAACTGCTGGTGCGTGCAGCCTTGTATCTCGCACCATACCGTACAGGTATTGTACAATGAATTGTGGCTTACCGACAACTGTGACGCACGTATAACACAGTCTCCACGATCTCGCGTCCCTGCACAGCGTGCAATCCACCCGCTTCAGCGCTCGGCCACAACCGCGGATACGAGAGAATAGCGAAAGCGATTTGATCCGCTGCGTGTTGGCTGCAGCTGCAACATTGCAGTGAACAAGCCGCCGCGCCGCCTGCGCACAGCGC